CATCCATCATCCATCCATCATCCATCCATCTTCTTGTCTCTCTGTCTTTCAGGGTGTGAGACGTTCATGGACATCGTGATTGTCCTGGATGGTTCTAACTCCATCTACCCGTGGTACGAGGTGCAGGACTTCCTCATCAACATCCTGCTCAAGTTCTACATCGGCTCAGGTCAGACGCAGGTCGGTTCATCACCAGATAATAAAACAATCACAGGTTCACGTCACAACACGTTTAAACTTCAACACTAAACATATCAGGTTTGTTGTTTGTGTTGCTTAAATATAATAAAATCTTTAGCTCATATTGAATTGATCTTGTCCACACGGTGATAACTGTTATAACCGGGCCGACCTCACGGTGCAGGTTGGGCTTTAGACTGAGCTGCGTTTCCTCTGCAGGTCGGTGTGGTCCAGTACGGCTCCACAGTGGTCCATGAGTTCAGTCTGGGTGAGTACCAGACGGTGGAGGAGGTGGTGGAGGCTGCCAGAAGCATCGACCAGCGGGGCGGAGAGGAGACGAGGACGGCGCTGGGCATCAACGTGGCGAGGTGCGACTCCACATCCTCCCTTTAGGAATCGATTGGTGTCCTGCCAGGCTCCTCACACGCCTTCATGTTTGTATCTGCAGGTCGGAGGCGTTCAAACGTGGCGGCCGGCCCGGCGCTCAGAAGGTGATGATCGTGATCACAGACGGTGAATCTCATGACAGTCCTCATCTGGTTCAGGCCGTCGCCGACAGTGAGAGAGACAACATCACCATGTACGCCATCGCTGTGAGTCCATCCATCTTTAACCTCTCTGACCTCATGACTTCCTGTCACACCCTGACCTCTCAGTCTTCCCTCCCTCCATCCTTTCTAGCTTCTCCTGATTTAAAAACCTTGCGTTCTCTGGATGTAGACGATTTGAACCCTCTCTCCTGAGCGTCTCCTCCGTCTCCTGCAGGTTCTGGGTTATTACAACCGTCGGGGAATCAACCCTGAAGCCTTTCTGAAGGAAATCAAGTTCATCGCCAGTGACCCGGATGAGAAACACTTCTTCAATGTGACGGACGAGTCGGCGCTGAAAGACATCGTGGACGCTCTGGGAGAGAGGATTTTCTCCCTGGAAGGTCGGCTGACATTAGTTAAATCATGTTTCTTCATTTTGTCTGAAACAAATTCACAGGAGAAATAATAAAGAACCAATATTCAGCAGACGCAGGTCACATGAAGTATCAGTACAGGTCTACTGCAGTAGTGATCAACATTACTGATGTGATTAAATGTTGTGTGCTTCACAGGAACCAGCAGCCAGGGTCGAGGGTTCGGGCTTCAGATGGCTCAGGCTGGTTTCTCCTCACATTTAGTCAAAGTGAGTCAAGTTCTCAGTTACATTCATGTCCAGCTGCTGTTATTTCAGCTTCCAGATGTTTAAGAGATTCTGTTAATGTCTGTAAATGTCTGAAAGTCCAACTTTCTGAATCAGAACCTTCACACTGGACTCCAGTTCGGATCTTTCTGTCAAATTCCCTCAGTTTAATTTGATTTCCACGTCCGAGGTAAAGGATGATTATAATTTTCCTGAAATCACTTCTGGAAAACATCCTGAGCTACTTGTACTTGTAAAAATCAGGGACTTGGCAGGTATAATATGATATATTTATATAATTTGATTTGATTTGGGAACAGAATGTTACGGACGATTCTCCAAGAAAACTAAAGTCAGAACAGAGACTCTGTATTCGATGGATCCTGATTCCAACAGAAATTCTCAAATATTGTTGTTGGTCTCATCCTCAGTTGTCCAGCATCGCTCTGGTTCTGGGTCTGAAACTGCAGAAACTGAAATATTTCTGTTGTTTCTTGTCCAGGGGAAATTGTATCTGACTGAACTCCAAAGGGTTTGATGGAAACTTTCTTTGAGAAACACACAGCAGATGGTTTTTCCTGAACGTGAAGCTGCCAACAAACGCTCTCACACATCAATACATGAAGGAACCAGGAGACCTGAACACACACACACACCTGAGCCCATTGACAATTACTTACTGCAAACAGTCTCCTGATCCTGAGTTTGTGCATTAAAGGGTCAACATGTGTCAGTCAGTCATCGTCTCCTCACGCAGGATTAAAGAAGTGAATGTGCTGATCCAGAGTCAGTCCATGTGCTGCTCAGATGCTCATTCACACACTGTGGTCCTGGATTACGGCCCGTAGAGACCACGACTCAGCGTTTAAATAACTTTCATATCTGGAGTTTAGGACCTCCAGAGTCCATCTTCCTGTGTCACTGATTGTAAACACGTGTTGAGAGATGGTTACGATTCCAGAGCGGCTGATCCCGCCCTTGTACTGATGTCTGAGACGACAGGTCTGCAGCACGAAGGACACACCAGTTAGTCTTTAACCTCCCTGTGACTTCATATGAGCTGGACAGAGCTGGGTGTGTTCCTGACGTGTTCCTGACGTGTAATAGAGGTTCTGTATGTAAGAAAACAAATATCTGAGTCAGTTACTCTGGAGATTTTCTGGAACTTTTCCTTCCAGCCCCTTAGTGAAACATCTGGAAAATGTCAGAGTGAGAAACCCTTTCATTCTCCAGAGTTCGTGTCTGAAACCAGCTTGAGTTGTAGAATCAACCAAAGTGGAACAAACCTCAGGTGTTTTCACAGCGGCTCCGTTTGGGTCATTCAGCTGCTGGGAGCTGGACTGAGCAGAACCAGAGCTGAAGATCAGCGGGTTCAGTGAAGAGCTGAAGATCCACAGTTGGATGCGAGTTACCCGTCGTCTCTCGGACCACAGCTACAGTTTCCACGTCAGTGGAGCTGCAGAGGCTTTTCACAGCAGAAGTATAAATCCACTGTCACGACTCCAGACGTCTGACTAGTCTCCTCAGGAAGATACTAAAGAAGACACAGTGCTTTTCAGCTTCACTTTACTGACGATCAAACTATGTGGTGGGAACTGAGTGGTTGGGAGCTGAGCTGTAACTTAAGCTGCATGATGGGATTTCCAGTCCGGCTGGTGACATAAGGTTCATACTGCAGGAGTGAGTCGATCCACACAAATGTTGCTCCTGCTGTTTCTCCTCATTGTTGCAGTCACACTTTAAACTACTTGTCATTGCTGGAGTCGGTTTGTACAGAGCCTCAGAAACTAACACTATGATGGACAATACGTACATGAACAGTAGGGGGCAGTGTAGAGGCAGATACTCACCACACCTCCTCCGGTGTCGCCATGTTTTTTATTAACAGGTCTGATTTCTGTGGTGCGCCCTCTAGTGGAACACTCCATGTGTGATAGAATAGAAAGCATTTGTGAACTCGATGCATCTGTCCAGTGAATATGTGGCTGAACGTCCGTCTCAGGCCTTGAAGTCAAATATATAAATGATGTCAACATCTTTCCTTCAGGATGGCGTTCTGCTCGGGGCGGTCGGCGCCTACGACTGGACCGGTGCCGTGCTGAAAGAAACTAAACACGGGAAAGTTGTTCCCCCCAAATCCTCCTATCAGGACGAGTTTCCAGAGGAGCTGAAGAACCACGGAGCCTATCTGGGTACAACCATCGTGCTTTACTCATCTCTGGTGTTTCTACTGATTGATGCTTTTGACAGTTTCAATACATTTAAAAACGGAAGTGTTCTCAGTTGAACTTCCTGCTGCTGCCCCCTGGAGGCTGCAGGGCTCCATACACACAGCAGCACACCATGGTCAAATCCACACAGGTGTTAATGTCACAAAGGTTCATCTGCTTCAGAGCACCAGTGTAAAAGATGTTACTGTGATGCTCACATTGGCCTCATGGTGGCGCTGCAGCAAGAGACTGGGAATCATCAGAATAAGTTCATCCTATCAGACCATGAATATTCTGAACATCTGTCAAGACAATGATTTGTGACGTGTGTTGACTCCTGTCGGTCCTGGTCCTTCAGGTTACTCAGTGGGTTCACTTGTGTCGGCTCGTGGCTCTCAGCTCTACGTGGCCGGAGCACCGAGGTTCAACCACACGGGCAAGGTCATCATCTTCACGCTGAAGAACACGGGAAACCTGACCATCCTGCATGGCCTGCTGGGAGAGCAGGTCTCTCACTCACTCACTCACTCACTCACTCACTCACACACACACACACACAC